GGCCGTGTGGGAATCCAACCTACCACTTCTAGAAAGCACATCCAGTTTCACGGATCCGTAATTAGAATTTTAATACTAATTTTAATTCGTGATAAGATGAAGGGGTAGTTAATTAAAGACATCAATTTAATAATAGCTTCCCCTATACAATTAGTCGTGTAAAAAGTCATGTAAGGATATGCAAGAGAGTCATGAGGAGAAGGACAAGAACACAGCCATTAATGCGAAGATATTGGCAAGAATTGATTACGACTAATTCCGGTTGGCAAAGGCTTCTACTCTTGTATATAATAGTTCGGCGTAAGAGAAATTTACTCCTAGCGCAACGTCTTCTTTACTTATCCTTTGCAATAAATTTGTTTCCCATCTCTTCTTCGGGAAGACCACATATCCATTGCCCAGTTCTTCATCAGCAAGACCCACGTGTAACATCTACTGCAACTAGTTGCCCATTCATCTCTTCCTAGAGAAGACCTGTCATCCCTTTGACCCATTTATAATCTTCACTTACCACCTAGATCTTCACTAGGCTATACAACGCACACCGTGGAACACTGTCAAACCCTCATTCCTGAGATCCAGCACCCGACCAACTGTGCCAATAGCCTGTTGAAAATCATACATCGTTTTCCCCAAATTCTCCCCTGCATTGCGCTCAACCCCCATTTGAGAGGGCTGAAATTTCGAAATCGAGAGCTCAAAACCGAGGCATAGGTGCCCCAGCTATGTCGTACATTTTTCGTTGTCTGAGTGAGGCTTCTTCGTTCGCACCGTCTTTGGAATGTGTCAAAAAGTTGAGAATATTGATGTCGCGGTCGAGGTGCTTGTCTAAAATGAGGCCGAGCAATTGCCCAGTCCTGCACACAATGTTAGTAAGGTTGAAAGCGAAAGGAATATTACCTTTGATTTTGGAGGGTTGTTGGTGAGTCATAAAGTCCTCCCACTCAAACTCAATCGGGAAGTTGTTAGAAAACTGAATAGAAGAGACCCAAACTTAAACTTTTGATCTATTGTGCTGGGAACGGAACCTAGCCCATGTGTCAACCAAAATCGACTGGGCCACGCTCAGCAAGCTGCCGTTGCGAAGGATGCGATTCTTCTTGGCTATCCCAGATATGCAAAGCATACTGAGCGATTACACCGGCATCACTGGAAGGTGAAGAATTCGACTTTGCCGGCAAGACGACGGCGATCGCGGGGGAGACCCATTCAGCATTGACCTCCATGGGGGACGTGAGGCCTTTTGTCGAACTGTGTTAGAGACCTGCATGTGAGGCTGAATAAGGCTGATAAGGAAGCACACGTAATCAACCGTGCGTTACACAATGCATCTATTATTATCTCCCTGGAATCATTATTTAAATGCTTGAATGTAGATTACAGTCTAAGATTTTTTACAATTTTTATTTTTTGCATCATATTTAAATTGCGTATGCAGCTATCTAGCTATGACACAATATCAAAGAAAAGTACAGAAAAGGTGACTCAATTTACAAGAGGAGCACTCATGCCTCAGCTTTCATTTGCAAGTACCACTGCGAAGTTATGGTGGCTTTTTCTTCACCCCAAGTCAACCCTCGCCTGTGAATACCCACCCAGGGGAACGTCTCAAAAACCCTGGGTTATCCAGACATGCCTCCATCATCTTTCAACTTTTCTCCGCGTGAAATATGATCTGAGATATCTCCTTCACAAGTGAAGTAGGTGCCCAGGCTACTCAAACCATACCAAAGAACACCACCAGGAGGCGGACCACAACACCTTCCATCGTTTGTTTGTTTTTATAGTGTCAGCTGCACACTCGCAAGCGAAGTCTTGACGCGCACAAAGCCCAATTCATAAAACTCTTGCCAAAATTCGAAATTTCACGCCCGTCGAGAATGTTTCCCTCATCTGCATCATCTTGTAAACTTGTCCTGATCCCTCTCACGTTCATCCCAAAGAGCAATCTCCCAGATTTGTGCGCCACGCTTTGCTTCCTCCGTCGGGTATAAATATCGGCGTGGGCGTATATTTGGTGACCGGTTGAGGCCAGAGAAAGTTAACGAGAGGTGTGGTCATTGAAACGAGAATGTACTAGGTCGTACTTGTAGACTTGATGAAGCTTAGTTGAGAATCTGACTCTTTGGGAGTGAAAGATTGAAATGGTGGAGTAATTTGAAATTTTGCCTCGTGGGCCAACTTCTTTGATATCGCGAAATTTGACTGAACTTGGCTCTGGGAGAATATTTCACTCCTAGGTTCGTAGAGGACACCGCGTACAGATGTTCAGTCTTGCCCTCCTGTACTTTAATTTGTTGCACCCACTTTTACCTGTTCACGATATTAGCGCTCATCACATTTTTAAATTGTGTTTCGAATTAGATGATGCAGTCTGTTTGTGAGACGGGATGATGAGATTACGAGGTCTGCACTACAGAAACTGACTGAAAGAAGACCAGCGAACTTGTACTTAAACAGAAGTGAGAACATGGAAGTTAGGACAATCAATCATTTTTCTTTCCCTTCCTCTGAGAAAATATCCAAGTTCCAATCCTGTGACACCTTTGTTACTCAATCTTGTTGGGAATATCGCGCAATGAAGTGGGCGCAATATTCATGGAACGAAAGTGTAAGTTGACTAAAAGAGTGTAATGTTCGAATTACAGCTAGAAATGTGGGAAGTGTGCGCTACAAGTATAAGTATAGGCGACACGTAGCCTAAGCCACGGCATAAACAAGTGTGGCGCCATCTAGGCATAGAAAACCCCCAATGACCTCCTTGTGCCCACGCCATGCAGCCGCTCATGTCTCCAATGGGTAGCCTGAAATGCTACCATACTATCCATTCCAACCTCTTAAATACACACAAGATCGTGTCGGGAACCTAGACGAAATGGAGGGCCCGTACGTCCACAACACTCTGTGTCTCCATTTCCAACAAATCTCGGCTCTGCAGGCTTTACAGTGAGAGCTGGAGGTTCGTAGGAGTCACCACTGACAAGTGTTGAGAATAGTGCCGCGTGATCAATGCTGTGTGTACTTTTAGGATGACCTATTTGACGTCGGGACAATCATCCTCTGTATGTCGTTTTCAAATACTACCGTGCGGTATAATTGCTTACGCCGAACAGTCGAATCTTCTCCATGAGTACTCGCCAAAGGGAAGTTCCAGAAACTTTGGTTATTCGAGCATGCTTTTGTCGTCATGCATACCTGTTATGCTCAGCTATGTAGTATGGTAGATCTAGTAGCTGGTGCATAGGTAGTTATTATGGCAGCATGGCATAATGGCGCATGGAGGAGATCCAGTCTCTACATAACGACATTACAATTAGTAATGTGTGCAGTATGAGAGATGGGTTGTTGATATAGTGTAGATGGCATGGCTGCTCAGCTAGGAGCACACTTAGGTGGGCTGCATACTGGTAACGTGATCGGTCTACAAGCGAACAAGCTAGGGGATAAGGGACGAGCTTCCCCCAATCTGTAACATGATAATTATCATAGAACTTCACTTCTGCAGATGAATGGAGACATCTCTCCCCATACTGTCTTGGCTGTTCCAGCGCAAGTGTACATTCCAAAATCATAAACCAATCATAATAATACCGGCACCGCGAGGAATGTGGACTAGCTTGGCTAGATTCATATCGGCCATCTCCTGTCTCAAGTGAATGAATGGATATTTGTTCGTGACTGAAACAAGCCTAGCACTCGAAGAGCATGACACGGAGAAGGCTAGTCCTTCCCCAACGAGTACATACGACGATAACTCAGTTTAACATTTGGACTACTCATGCAGTGGGTGCATTCGCTAGAACCACTCGAGACCTTTGTGCTAGGGACTTTCGCCCTTCCCTCAACTTTTCATATCCACCCAAGGGAAAACAGGAAAAAACTTTTGGCTACCCTAACATGCCTTTGTCATCTTGTATTTAGCCGCCGCGCGAGATATGGCCTCATAGTCCTCCATGTCTCGAGTGAGGTTGGTGTCGAGGCTACCCAGACTTTAATTCGGAGAGATGACAGCCAGGTAGCGGACCAAAATACCTTCCATCGTTGCCTTTGCGCCCACAGACACCCTTAAGTCGAAAACACTCGAAAAATTTGCGTTCCAGCATAACAATTTGTGGACTCATCACTCGTCTGTCTCGCGTCACAACTGCCTGTCCTCCCTCAAGATGTGAAGCCCCATTAGAGCAAAGGTCCCTCATAAACCGAGCCTTGTAGATTACGACTTAGTTTCTTCCTCGCTAGTATACATAGCATCGTAACTTTGCAGTAGGAGATGGCCGATTTTTGATGAGGAGAATGCTCGATTGCAATTGGAGTAACTCCTTTATCGGTATTTGATGCGAGGTGTTGTAGTAAGATTGAGATAGAGGATTCGCGTGAAACCGAGAGGTTTGATACTGAAGAGAAAATGTCAATTTTAGTTATGCTTGAGATTGCTTGAGATTTAGATTCGGATGCGATTCTTCTAGTTATCCCAGATATACAAAGAATACTGAGCCATTACACTAGCACCGCTGAAAGGTGAAGAATTCGTCTTCGCCGGCTTTCATTCGTAAATACTATCAAAAAGTAAGCTCACGAGTAATTAACAGTAAAAAACAGGTAGGAATCCTTCACAAACAAAACTCATGTATAGCTCCACTCATTCATTCCTGATTAATCAGCCTTTAATCCAATACCGCAGGAAATCCACCTAGATCCAATTATTGACATGTCCATCGCACTTCTTCCAGCGTGCAACGTGCACACCAACTCAGCACTCCACGTAGCGCAGGGGTTTGTGTCGCTTACCACTACACCACACGATCAATCAGATTCACGGTGAATCTATGCCAAAGAAAATACTCGCTGATTACAGTTCGCTATCCCTTCATGATGACTACAACCGGCCAACCATCAATCGACATAGAGCCGAGAACCATGATGATGTTAACGCTTGACATACAACGAATATAGATTATAATTTAAGTTTGTATGCACTTATCAGGATACTGAGGCACAAAATGTACAACCTATGCTCTTCACAGCTGCGTGTCTTTGAGCACCGGAAACTCGATCTTCTTTACTTCATTCACTTTAGCTCTGCGCTACCTTTGATGCTATGTGAGTATGAATGTAGAGTTGCCTGGTATAGTTGTGACTCAGTGACTTGATTCACCCGCTCTTAACTATTCAACGGTTTCCGGTCATGTGCGTATTCGGGGTCGCTAACAAGATGGTTATAGTAGTTGATTTGCAAGTTATTTACCCGCCAATCATCGTACCCGCATTCATGATTGACTTAAAGGCTTTTTATGTTGAGACATTCGACGATCGCTTCTTTCGAACGCCGCCGCCCTTCTTCCAGCTCTTTGTTTGGCTCGAGATTTTATACCAGGCACCTGTGATTGCTTGGAGTCTCGGCGGCCTCTACCGCAGTACGTCCTGATCCCGCCCAGTATGTGTGCATGCTCAGGTGGTTAGCTAATATCCGGCTTGCTAGATTCCTCAAAGGTACCGCTGGTGCTGCTCCCGTATGCCTTGGTTGTCTTTCTCACTACCCTGACGTGCATCGTGGAATATTCTTTCTGGGACACGCTATTGTATCAGAAGATATGCTTGACTGCGCTTTATGGTCCGTATTTGGCTTTATGTGCGTTCTATCCCCATACTTCATGTCTTCCTTGGTCCAAGAAAACTGATGTGATCAAAGCGGCTTTAATGGCTTCTGATATGTATCTTCGTCTCGATAAGATGATTAACACTAAAGATACTCTTCGAAAAAAAAGTAGACTTGAATAAATACATCTTAGTCAGCTGTGCTGCTTGTCACCGAGAACTAGGGAGGAAATTCATGCAATTCTATGGAATTCTATATCTACCATCCCAGCCTGATATGGCCTCACATCAGTTTATATTCCGCAAGCGTGCACACAAGGCCCTAGGAAAATACTATGATCAAATCCTCGACAGATAGATCTTGATTCGGCGCACTAGAGCATGCTTTGACACCGAGCTTACCGTTTAATTAAAGGAGCAATGATTTACTGACAAGCATAATTGAATTAAAATGGATTTGTCTGAGACGATCGAGCTCATTTATCGTCCCCTCAATAAGGAGTCTATCTAGGTATTGTATAAATCTTGAGGGTAGTCTCATAATTACTACCAATTCTAAGTATATACTGACAGTTCAGTTTTTCTACGCGAATTAATCAAATCTCCGTTCCATACATTTTTCTAAATTTCGCTTTGTTCGTTCCATGAATGACAAATTTCATTCGTAAGACATCATCGTGGATAATTGAAGGAATCATTTTTGTCAAGTGATTGAATAACTCAATTTTAACAACATAAAGTAGAATGTTACAATAGGGGAGTTGTGCCTAGGACATCAACCATCCATCTAGTCGCTGGTTGCAACGTGTGCATGATTAGATTAGGGCCAGTGATGCCACAGCCTCTGGTAATCGATTCTAAAATACCCAACTTAAACTGGTAAGGCCAGGAATTTAGAACCTCAGGCCGCCGATAGGCAGACTTTCTGAAGACATTAGTTAGCTGGGCTTGCTTCTAATTGGTAGTTTGTGTTGTAGCTTTGTCGTTTAGTGATAGAGATGGGGCAGAGGTTTATGGGTCACGATGTATGAGATACCCGGGATATGGATGTTTGAGTTTCTTACTATTGTTACTGTACTAGTTCGAGGGGGGTTTTTTTTTCTATATACTGAAGGGATATCTCCACCTACAAGGGGGACTATTCTCAACACCTATCAGTGGTGTCCCCTACGAACCTCCAGCTCTTACTATAGAGTCTGCAGAGCCGAGATTGAGTAACACCTTATCAACTTTGAGCTAAGTTATCTCCTCCTCCGTGAAAGATACGCTTCCGATAACACATAAGATGACCAAGACGATGATGATGATGCTGGGAATGAGGAAAGATAATGCGATAACAAACGCTACAACGGTAGTCAGAGAAGCCCTCGTTATATTACAACATGTGCTACCCACCGGCGGGCGAATAAAAAGCCTACGAAAGCAAAGTAAAAGACCCTTCCGCCCTCAAGAAAAGCAGATTTCGACTCGTCAATAGTATCGTCTCTACTAATCTATACCTCCAAATCTACTAGCTAGGAGGGCATCTGAAATATATGAGTTACTCGAAGACCCCTCGTCCCTAACGACTTTTGGATGCTAGGCTAGGCTCCTTTACGACAGTCACTCACGACCAAGACTTTTCTGACATCCTTTCACGACCTTCGGTTTGTCCTGCGGCATGAATCAAGGGAGGAGTAAGGAGGAGGCTAGGAAGGTTGAGAGACGCTCTTAGATATTTACAGGTCTGCTGCGCCCGGCTGGCTGGCCTCTTCGTCATATGAGAGCCCCGCACCCAGTGGTTTTTGAGACTTTTCCCTGCAGTTACACACCCGCAAATGGCCATCGTTTCGTTGGCTGGAGAGGGGAGATAATGACGGGATAACGGCTCCTCTTAGTGTGTACCCGAATAAAGGCCTGTGGGGGTATTACTGCTGGAAAGAAGTCATGAGGGAGGCAAAGGAGGGAGTACACTACCCGAGGCATAGATACTCCCGGCCTGTAGGCAGAAAAGACCTACATGTCCTTATATAGTTATAGACTCATTAGGAGAATAAAAACTCACTCATATAATTATAGACTTTTTAGGACAATAAACAACCAGTCTCTCTCCACCTACATATGGGCATATCAAGAACATTTTTCAACAACACTTTTGGCTGCCTGACCAACACAGTTCTCGAAACCAGCGCTTTCGTATACCATTTACGGCCTGTTACTGTCATATAAATCTTTCACTAACTCATGCCGCCCATTGCTCCGTAGAGGCTGGCTCTTGGCCCCCCTTCTACTCGTTAATTCGACGCGTCCTGACGTCGAAATGGTCCTCACAGGGCCACCTAACCATCCAAATAATACACAAACAAACGCAGAGCCGATCTGCGAGGCGAGCTGCCAATACTCGCCCCCAAACCAAACCGAGTCATTAGGTGTCACAATTACTGACTTCCTCGCAGATGAAGCGAGGGCTTTTAATTTACAATTCACAGAGGCTGAGCGTATTGTCAGTGGGTATATTAACCTACTGGCTGCTACAACCGACAAACAGCTCCGATGAGCTGTCGAAAAGAATGGAGAGGCTTTACATTTACATCTAAATTGAGTCTACGACTATTGAAGAATGGAGAGGCTTTACAAGCCATTATTACAAACATCCTGCGCGGAAACCCCCAGCCCCTATCCAGTAGGCCATCAGAGGCTTCCAGTAGCAGCAAGACAACAACCCTTCCGCCACCGGCTACTATGTTAAGAGGAAATAATAACGCGGGCACTCCACGACCAGTGCAAATCCTCGCGAGAAAAAGCAAGAGCCAGGCGAAAGGCAAAGAGCCGGTCTCGACAAAACCTACCAGGCCAATCCAAGGCTAACAAATACAAAACTTCAACACCACGGAGAGATCCTGGACTCAGGTGGCGAGGAAAAAGCTAAAGCCTGTACAACCAGTGGCTTCAAAATCGCTACCAGTCAATGTTTCCCGGTCGAAAGTAACTGAAGCTACAAAATTGCCGAAGTCAACTACCCCCGCTTCCAAGCCGGCCAGCCCAGACGAGCGTGTGTTCCTGAGCGTCTGTTACAGGCTTACCGCCTTGTATGGTTAGAATCGGAGTTGTCCGATTCCATTTGTAATGATTGTTCACGTGACATTATTTGATAGCCAAGTTTGGGTGGGTTACGTAAGGCTCAGCATATCCTTAATTGCGTAGTTCATATACTCCTTTTGTTATACAGAATATAAACTCCATTTTGGATTCACTTGTGCGAACAGCTAGCGTGAACAGTCCTTTTACAGCGTCAAGCCCGACCACCCGTGGAGATTCATGTCTCCTCACTAAATCAAACTAAGTGTCATGGCGAGACATTCTGGAACCAGAGTCTAAGCAGAATGCCTGAGGATAAAATTCACGTAACAGGTTTCTCGGCTCACCCTCAACACTTGCACTTATATGGTGAGACTAGATAATGCGCCAACTGGAATTGATATGGTTGAGGTCACAGTTTGGATCATGATGGGAAATTACAACAGTCTTAGTTGAATTACGTTAGATAGTTATTTGTACTTAAGAAAGCTGGAGCTACAACAAAGTAGTTCTCCAGCTTCACAATCTTATAATATTATTACAGTATTCCTCTCGCAAACCCGCTTCCTTCTAGTCATAATACTTCGTCGACTTCCCACCTCTCTAGTATTCACCACTTGACCTTTTCATACTCTCGGCGAACGGCGATCTCGATCTACCCTATAGCACGCCGTAACACTAAGCCTTGCAAGCAAAATACGCTCGGCTAACTCTGCAATCAAACAGATTACTGTCGTCAACTCAGGGTTCGCAATACAAGCTGAAGGAGATGCCGCAAGAAACGCGCTCCTCTCGGGTGCCGAGCTCTTGGTGTCAGAAATGCCTACTGTATAATCTATATATGTGGAAATAATCCATAACTAGTGTTCTATGATTCTGGACAGCCTTTCGGCCGAGTGTTTATGCACCTATCTCATGCACAATGTAGGATGTCTGTAACGGCTGTTAAGCATAGGGATTCCTGTAGCCATCGCTGGCTAGCGCAGGCAATAAATGCAAGGGGATCTTCGGGAGGGATCTCGGAATACAAGGAGCTAAGAAGATTCTGAATGAACCTTCAGTATGCTTCCAGAAGGTTCATGAGGACTAAAGGTGTACCAATAATCTTCTAGGGTGTTTTCGAGGAGTCCATATTATTCTAGATATAGGGAGAACCTTACAGAAGAGGAGTATCACAGAGTATATATATTTGTATTCTAGCTATAGAAATTCTCTCTCTAGAGAATTATAATTAATATAATGTACCTACAAGATCGCCCAAGCATGTTGTACTGAAACCGTGACAAGGTCAACCTTTTGCCTGGCACTCTTGTCTTGATCCTTGTTTCTGCTCCGCTGTCTACATGCCGCTTCTGACACTTGGAGAGCATGGAAATTAAACTGTAAGCTGCTTCGAACTGGATCTAGGTGCTGTCTCCAAATGTACCAGACAGGCTTTACACTCTAGAGGGACCAACTGTTACGGGCTGTGCCTGACCCTAGTAAGAAGTGGAAGGTTACAGTGCATCTAATTTCCAAAAAGCTAAGCTTGAAACTGGGATGTTTAAGGGATTAGCCCTGTAGGCGCAGTTTGGCTAGCTCATAATAGGTTAGACTGTCTCTCTTCATTTCCCCGCTCGTCATTAAGTATGGTCAATTGCCTTATTCTAACAATTGCTTAGTAAAACACATTTTCAACAACATTTTTGGCTGCCAAGCCTACACAGTCCTTGAATCTTAACACCGCTATCAATTCATCCTCTATTCTAGCAAACAATGTCTCTCGAAAAGTCTGCTTCAGAAACTAAAGTTTGCAAGCATCTAACTCGCGATCAATGTATTGAAATTACAACATATATCCGACGAACTTGGCTTCAAAAGAAGGCAAGTGCAAGTTGCGTGTGCTCAAGAGACTGAGAATCCTAAGCCTCCCAAAGGATGCCCACCTAAATTAAGCGATGAACAATTTTATAAGCTTGAGGCTTTCGTCTGGGAATCTCCTGAAAATCGACAGACATGCTATTTGGAACTAGCAATGGGGTCCTTCAGCCACTGGGGATGCAGTGAACGTTTAATTTCAAATGCCCTCAATATAATAGGTTACAGCAGATGCATTGCCCGGAAGAAGCCTCCGTTAAGTGAGGTTA